CGGGCGCGCAGCTCCGGCCCGCGCGGGCGCCTCGCGCAGCCGGCAGGCGAGCGCTCCGCGGGCGCCTCCTCGGCCCATTATATCCCGTCCTTCCTTATTTACCTGAACAAACAAGCGGCGCTTACCTCAGCTGGAGGTGTTTGAATATCCCGAGCGGGGTTAACCCTTGGGGGCGCGGCGAGCGTGGCGCGCTCGGCCCCGCAGCGCCGGAGCCGGGTCAGGAGCCGTTAACTCCTTCCCACTCCCGCCCGCCCAGGTGCTCGAGGCAACGCGCTGCGGCCGGGCCAGGAGCAGGTCGGCGGTGCGAGCGTGAGGGCCATGGGGCAGGACTGCCAAGGCTGGGACACTCCCACCGGTCAAGGTTGCTCCAACCTGGCTGAGGATGCTCCAAGGAACCATGGATGCTCCAACCAGTCAAGGATGCTCCGACCCACCAAGGATGCTCCAACCTGTCAAGGATGCTCCAAGCCACCAAGGAAACTCTGATCCACCAAGGATGCTCCAACCCATCAAGGATGCTCTGACCTGTCAAAGATGCTCCAACCTGCCAAGGATGCTCCAACTCCAGAGGATGCAATGTGCCAAGGATGCTCCAACCTCCAGCATGGAGATTGCTCCAACTCCCCAAGGATGCTCCAACTCCTGAGGATGCTCCAACCTGCCTGCTCCATGCCAGGAGACCCTCGCACCCCTCTCCAATCGTGCCATGACAAAGGCAACCTCGCTCGCCGGCACTGTGGGAACGGCCACCAGGAACGGGTCACACAGGGCCCCGGGTGTCCCTGCCAGCACGAGCTGGAACAAGCTGCTCCAAGCAAGACAGACAGCGAGCTGGAATTTACTGTGGCTCAGCCCGGAGCGGCGGCGGTGCAGGTCACCCGGCTCCGCCGTGGGCAAATCGAGCTCTCCCACGGCCTCCAAACCCGCATTTTTGCACAGGCGTCAGCAGAGCCCAACCCCGGCCGTAACCCGGAGCGGCTCCCGGCTGCACCGCCCGGCGCAGGGAGAGCCCAGCGCCTGCAGGAGAGCCAAAGGAGAGGGAAAACTCAAGGTGCCCTGGGTATCGGGGCGTCCCCAGCGAAGGGCACCACTGCTTCGCCGCGCGCTTCCGCCTCCCTTTCCAAGCACCTCCATGGATTACAGCTCCCCTGGATTACAGCTCTCTCCGCTCAAGGGCAGCTTCATTCCCGTCTGGTTTAGAAAATGCAGCCGGGCCTGGGACGGAGGGCTCGGCTGGGGACTTGGAGGGATGTGGGGGCTGCTGGAGGTGCTGGGCTGCACTTATCCCGTTCGGAGCGCGTGGTGCTCCCAGGGTGGCAAATCCAGGGCATCATGCACAGGCGAGGGGTCTGCCCGGCTTGAGCATGCCAAGACCCTGGGAAAACAGCAAAGGGCAGTGGGGAGAAGAGTCGGGAGCGGGTGCAGCTGGCGCACAGATCGCATGGATCCGCTGGAGCGCCTGGCGCCACATCCCGGTGTGGGAGCATCCCACTGCCGAGCCAGCCCAGCCCATCCCAGGGACCATGGCTGGCTCCCAAAGTGCTTTCCCTGCTCCCTTATCAGCAGCGCCAGGGATTTCGATAAGGAATACGTAGACAAGGAGAACATTTGCCCGGTTTCCCCAGGTGTTTGCTGTGCCGGTGTGGGGCAGAGCGGGCACCTGGGCAGCACGGAGCGAGGAAAACAGGGAAAATCCTCCACGTCAGCCAAGGGGATGCCCGTTTGCTAATGGGTTGGTGCAGGACCAGGCCTGAGCCTCACACCAGGGCTCCCACAGAGCCACCTGGGTGCACCCAAGGGCATCCCGGGATCCGTGTGCCCCAGGCACAGGCCTGGGAAGAGCATCGGCAGTCGGCACCTGCATGGGGCGATTCCCGGAGCTCCTCGGGGGAAACCCCAGTCCCGGGCAGGCGAGGGCCAGGGGAGCGATTCCCGTGGCGCCGGCCGCCTCCCGCCTTTCGCAATCCCGCGGGGTCAGCGCCGCTCCGGCGGCTCCGGTTACATATGCAAAGCAGCGGGAGAAGCGGTTGCGACACCCGAGCGGGGAGCGGGGGCACCGGGACCGGTTCGGCGCCGTACGGGTCGCCATTCCGCGGCTTTTCCTGGTCCCTGGCGCCCAGCGACGCTGGAGCGGAAAGCGGGAAAAGGGGCTGGGAAGGAGGCTGGAGGCCTCTCCCCACCCGCCCGCTGCGGCAAATCGCTGGCTCGGGCACAAGAACAACAGAGAAGCAGCCCGGGGACATGGGGACATAATGGAGCCATTGAAGGGGCCTGATGTCACTGCAGGAAGCGCAGGGATGGCGGGACCGCTGTTTGTCCCA